GGCTCAGTCTCATGAGAGAACTGAGTCACCTGTTAGGTGCCTTCAACAATAAAAAGTCCTCTTGCTGTTTGCATCCATTGGCTTGGCTTATTGAGTCTGGGGGATCGTTCCCTGAACCTTAGAAATTAGGGTCTTTCACCAAGTTTCTAGAACTGGGATTTTGTTAGTAAGAAAAGAGGAAACGAACATTTAAGATAGCAGGACAATGGGAATGTTTTAAATGAGCAAGAAAAAAAGCTACAGAACTTTGCTAGAAAGCTAGAACCCCAAGATGTAATGGTTTGCATATTCAGATAAAACATAAAGGGGAGGCTGTCATGCAGTTAGCTAATCCATTCAATAAGTAAGGGCTTTCTGCATTATATGCTGATGACAGTAGAATATAAACCTCATGTCAGCAACTATTGTTATAATAATGGTCCAGTCATCATAAGTCTTCATCAAATTAACAATGAATATTTGATATTTCTTATAATTATAACTGTGATAGAATATAACTTAATAGTAACATACAATTTTACATACACCAAAGCATGTATGTAACCATTTGAGTAAACTATCCTTACTTTTAGGAAAGAAGTAAAATCACCTCAACAAGAATTTCTTAATAGAGAAAGACATCATTTGTACAATTTTTATTACCCAGAACAATGAAACTAAGATGATAGATAATAACAATAGATAAAAGATTAATACCCTTGTATTCTCGCAACTCAGTAGGCTGAGCCAGGAGGATCACAACAAGTTAAAGGCAAACTTAGGATATATGTTAAGTTTGGGACCAGCACTGTTTGACCCTATTTTTTATAAAAAGGAAAAGAAAAAACATAATCTGTTAAAAATATTTCAAAGCTTTAGATAATCAAAAAAACCAATGTGGAATACAAAAATTGTGCAAAAATAAACAGAAATTGAATATTGAATATGATAGATGCAAAATGAAGAGTGGGTTTGAGGGCATATGATCCATATATATTATATATTTGCATAAAGTCTTTATAAAACCTAGTAGCATATAAAATGAGTATATGAAAATAAAAGATAATGAACATTTCAATAAAACAGACTTAAATAGTGAATCAAAAATTAATAAGTAACTCTTATTTTTTTCAGCAAGCCTATTACTACACATATAACAAAATGAATTAAAATCAGTATATCATAAAGCTATCTGTATTACAATATTCACAACAGCACTATTGACAACAGCCACAAGATAAAAACAACTCATCTGTCCACCAACCCTTAAACGGATAAAGAAATGCCAAACCTATAATTATAATTCATGGTAGTGCATGAGTGAATATTTTGTGTATCTATGTATATGAGTTTATATATGTACAAGATAGAATACCATTCAGTCACAACAGAATGAAATTCTGTAATTTGTGACAACATGGATAGAACTGGAGATCAATATGTTAGTGAAACAAGCCAGGCATAGCAACACAATTATGACATGATTTCACTCAGTATGTGGAATGTTAATGCAGTCAATCTCATAGAAATGAGAGTAAAATGTGGGGAGGGTAGATGGGTAATTTTGATCAGTTACCATTGGATAGCATTAAGAATTTCTGGTATGCTACCACAGAGAAGTGTGACTAGAGATAAAAACAAACACCTAGAACAGAGAATTCTTCAATGTTTCATTTTAAAGAAATAAGTGTTTGAGGAGGTACATATGTTAACCTACTTTAAACATTACACAATGTATACATATTAATGCAGTGTAAGTTATATTATTAATATGAACAAGTTTTATGGCTTATGTATCATTTAAATACAAATATAAAATAAGTATGGCAAAGTGTATAAATAGTGACATAAATGAAGCAATGAAGGATAATATAAGGAGGTGCATGTCTGCAAAAATTGAAATGTACTGTCATAAATTTTACTCAGAAGGGTCTCAGTTGCTGATTACCTGCCATATAGCAAACTACAATCATATTACCTCCAAATACTTGAACACTTACTATGTATCACATATGCAACCTATTTTAAAATACCCAGAATACTAAAATAACATATATGAGGTGTTTAATCTTTGTAACAACTTTGAGGTAGGTATTACTAACATCACTTTTTGATATGGTAACCGAGATACAAATAGGTTAGGTAACAGTCTGAAAGTCATAAACTTAGTAAGTCATAAAGTCAGGCTATGCAATCTATGCACCATCCTATGTCTTAATTGCTATTCTACATGACCTTTCATCCTTCCTCTATCAACACTAAAAAAATGATACTTGAATTTTAAATAATTACTACAGCTTTATATTTTTGTTTCTTTGTTTCATTTTTAGAAGTAGATTCTCATTCACCCTATGCTAACCTTGAACTTCCATATACCAAAGTCATCCCTGAACAAGATGACCTGCAACTTCTGACTCTCTTGCTTCTACCTACCTGGTGCTGTGAAAATAGAGGCATGTGTCATCATCATGTTCAGTTTAATGAGGTATTGGGGAGCAAACCCAGGGTAATAACTATCACATAAATATAGCACGCATTCAACGTTGGTAGCATTAAGTTATAGCATTTATGAGAAAGTAAAATGTTATATTTCTAAAGAAAAAATTCAATTTCATAATGAAATGTGATATGAAGATAAGCTATAATAATTTGAGACTTGAATCACTACACATGAGTAAAAGCTATAAATCAAGGCTGTGCCAAGTAAACTGTGTTTTATGCCAAAACCAACACGTACTTCATAAATGGTTTCCAAGTGCCTTAACACAAAAAGGAGTTCATTTATATAGAAAGTACTGATTTTTCACTCAGGATAGTGTTTTCTATTTCCATCCATTTGTATGCAAAATTCAAGAAGTCCTTGTTTTTTACTGCTGAGTAATACTCTAATATGTATATATTCCATACTTTCTTCATCCATTCTTCCGTTGAAGGGCATCTAGGTTGTTTCCAGGTTCTGGCTATTACAAACAATGCTGCCATGAACATAGTTGAGCACATAGTTTTGTTGTATGATAGGGCCTCTCTTGGGTATATTCCCAAGAGTGGTATTGCTGGATCCAGGGGTAGGTTGATCCCGAATTTCCTGAGAAACCGAAACACTGCTTTCCAGAGTGGTTGCACAAGTTTGCATTCCCACCAGCAATGGGTGAGTGTACCCCTTTCTCCACAACCTCTCCAGCAAAGGCTATCATTGGTGTTTTTTATTTTAGCCATTCTGACAGGTGTAAGGTGGTATCTTAAAGTTGTCTTGATTTGCATTTCCCTGATCGCTAAGGAAGTTGAGCATGACCTTAAGTGTCTTTTGGCCATTTGAAGTTCTTCTGTTGAGAATTCTCTGTTCAGATCAGTGCCCCATTTTATAATTGGGTTGATTAGCCTTTTACGGGATCTCACCAAGGCCAGCTGGCCTAGGTCTGAAAAAGCATGGGATAAATCCGGACTAGCTGAACATAGCGGACAATGAGGAATACTGAGAATTCAAGAACAATTGCAGTGGGTTTTTGATCCTACTGCACGTACTGGCTTTGTGGGAGCCTAGGCAGTTTGAATGCTCACCTTATGAGACCTGGATAGAGGTGGGCAGTCCTTGGGCTTCCCACAGGTCAGGGAACCCTGATTGCTCTTCGAGCAGATGAGGGGGGGGGACTTGATCGGGGGAGGGGGAGGGAAATGGGAAGCGGTTGTGGGGACGAGGCAGAAATCCTTAATAAATAAATAAATTTAAAAAATAAAAAAAAGAAAGTACTGATTTTTAACACAAACATGTATTCTACTGATATATAGCTCAATATATACATGAAGTAATCATGACTTAGACATAAATCCATACCAGACTTTTATTATAATTTCTTCCTAATAAAGACAGTATCAGAATGGTGATTAGTTTTTTACTAACAAATGTATTCACAACAAAATGCAAATAGTTTGCTACTTTAAAAAAAAACTAAACTTGTTTGAAAAGGAATTTATCTTATTTATTTTAAATCATCCCTCAAAAAAAAAGAAAGTTCTCCTTGATAGAATGATAAGCAGAGGATGGGAGATCAAAAGTATCATTATCTTAAGCAATATTCACTAAATATTTTGATGGCTAAAAGAAAAATGGGAAGATTCGAATAATTTGTCACTTACATATGACTACTTTTATGATATTACTGGCCAGTTTTTGAAAAATTATACTTGACTATGACAAAAAACATTCATGTATAATATAGTTATTATATTAATATATAGTTATTTATACTTATACTATAGCAGGGCATTTATACTTTGATAATATACTGAAACAATGGTCAACATAATTAATAAATTCATCTAAACTGAAACCCTAAAATTTCTTTCATCTATATATACTTGTAATAAAAGCTTTATAACCGACATGAATACCAAAATACAGCAAATTTTCTATTCACTTCACAACACTCAGATGGTAAACGTACCCGCTATACATAGTAATAATATATAAGCTTTCAATTTTGATCACATATTTCTATTCAACTTCATTTGGTATATGTGATGTATGACAAATGCTTTAACCATAAAATCCCACCAATACAGCTCCCTAATAATGTCCTGAACTGAATGACCTCAATAGACATGCAAAGAAAAAAAAGCTTAAAAAAACTTAACCCTATACCCAGGCAACAGAGAAATGCTTTGAGCAAGAAAAATTAGTCTTTCCTAGAGACGCGCACACCAATTGGTTATCCCAGATGTTCAGTCCTGAAAACATACACAAAGGTGGCATTATACCGATTGGGCAGGCTGATTTTCACACACAAACAATTAAAGAAAATGAGGCCATAAATTTAAAAGAGAAAAGTATGTTATATGACAGGATTTGGACATAAGAAAGAGAAAATAAAGTAATTATAATCTCATTATAAGAAAATTAAATAAATAAAAACTGACATGACATCATAAGGAAACCAAACAATAAGTATACATTGGAATATAGCTTCAGGATTTTAATAATTTAATATGAACAAAGTAAAACTGAACATATTTATGATTTATACCTTAGCTCCATCTGAAATATTGTCCCAGTTTCCACCACTCAAAGAGAACTTCCCATTGCCTATACGCAGGAGTATTTCTTCAGGAGTATCATTGGGTCCATTGGAAAATGGAGTGTAGCTGTTTATAAAGTAGATTTTAATAAACATACAAAGGTACATTTTGTACATAATTGAAAGTGATGGCTAAAAGTCTATATACAAATATGAAAAGAAGCATCATTATTAGGCAAGAGCATTGCTTAATAATTCCCTTTACTATTAATATGAAATCATGTATCTCAAACAATGAATTTAATCCTAATAAATTATTTGACAAAGAATTTTGCTGATTACTTCTTTGCTTCCTTTGATTAGCAAACTAAGGGTGGACTTTTATATAAACATATAGTATTATAATGAGACCACAATAAAGCACAAATATTCTGTTTTGAAAGGCTTAAGGTCAGCAAGGCAATATATTTACTAGGAAGAAGTTTTAATTCTTACATAATCATAATATATTGTACCAATTCAGCTTACTCATCAACGTTTTATTTTTATGAATATAATTAGTGGAAATAAGTTACAATTTTCAGTTAATATCTATGAAAACGAATTATATTTAATATTGATGAGAATGTAATAAAAACACAGCCTCTGAATTATGTACATAAAATTACTCATGGGTTGAAAGAAACTCATAAATTTAAGGTGGATTTTAAAATTAACTTGACCAAAGTGATTATTTTTCTAACACTTTATTAGATGTAACCAAAATTTCTTTATACTTGAGAATTGGAAAGCTGATTTATGGTTGAAAGTATTAGGAGACAGCTTGCAGTAAAGTCTTCATTCCTTCATCTAACAATTGGGCTTAAATAACATCAAACACATACTTATATATAATAATTTCTTATTTAATCATAAAGCAAATATTTGAAAGCAGCAAGGAAGAAATTATATACTATGGTCTAAAACCTATAATATTGACTATATGTGATATGGTATACCATTCTATAAAGAGCTTATAATTTTTAAAATTCTGACATATGCAATTATGTACAGCCAATTAACAATTAACATTAATTTATGTTGCTAATGTATTTTATGTTTTTATACAGCAGTTAAATTGAGTATTTAAAATGTCATAAGTAACGTTCTGATATTTACTAGTTAACCATTCCTTTTTGAAAATCACAATAATTCATATAACCATAACTATTCACTTTAAAATAAAAGTGTTGCTCCCTATTAAGAGTAAAATATCATTTTAACCAATTATAGATTATAAACATTAACATGGTCTAATTATTATCATATTTATTTTGAGTATATCTTCATCCTATTAATGGTGGACATGTATGTATATGCTTCTCGTTTAATGTGTAGTATTACATTCTTATCAATCATCTTACTAAATTTGTTGCCGAGAATTAAAGTGCTTTCTTAATAAAATTAACTTAATATTAACAAGCTCAGTGGACATACTCCGATTATAATATACAGCTAATCAATAGTCTAGTAAGTTCAATCGTTAACCACACAGTGTAAAAATAAAAGGCTTATTCTAAAGCGTATTCTATATGAAAGCTTTTCTATTTTTGTATTGTTCTCATTTTATAAATAAAAGTATAGATTTGAAAATATTAATGGGATGTCTAACAGTATTTTCTTCTGTACTCTTTCTAGATGAAGATATGCCCTCAAGTTCAAATAACAAGAGTTTGTAAATATCTTACCCAGCCAACATAGTGTAAAATAGGACTCCTAAACTCCAAATATCACAAGCAGCATCATATCCCTGTTGAGTGAGAACCTGCAAAAAAAAATTCATGGTATGAAATCTTAGTACGATAAACTCATATTATATATATATATATATATATATATATATATATATATATATATACACATACATATCACTGCAATATTGTATAGATTCTAATAATTTCATAAATATTAATAATATAAACATAAGTATAAAATTTTAAATTATTTTATGTCCTGCAAAGGTAAAAGTAAAATCAGCAAACACTGCATGATCTAGGATTATTATTGGCTGATATGTAATACAGACTAGACAGGAAAAAGAGCAACCCTATAAGATATAAAACCTAAGCCTTCGTTCTTCCTCATTTCAAATTGAAGAAAAAAACATCTAAACTTAAAACTTGTATGTACAAGTGTTTGATGGAACTATAAATAACACTGAGGTTTTTCATTCTGATATTGACTCTTATGAGGTAGATATTAATTATTCCAATTCTGAAGATGACACTGAGGGCAATGTTAAGTAACCGGCCCATCATCATTAAACTGGTTAGTACTGTAGAACAGGCATTCTTACTAAACGGCAGTGCTTTTAATATCTATGAAAACAGCTTCTTATTTTGAGATAGGGTTTTCTTTTAAAGCCGAGCATGACTGAGAACTCCCTATTATATAGCCCGTGCTGTCCTTAAACGTGTGACAATCTTCTTGCTTCAACCTTCCAAGTGCTGGAATTACATTAGGTATGAGTCATCACATCTTGCTTGATAACTCTTTCCTAGTGATTGGGGTATGTGTGTGGTGTGTGTGTTGTATGTGTTTAAATATTTTGTAAAAGGACTACGCAGGGGTCCGAATCCTCGGGGCACCCAAGCGGGCGGGAGTTCCTTTGTTTCTATGGCCTGCCTACACCAACCAGCAGAGAGGCCTGATCTCTTGGTGCCAGGAGAGCCAGCATTGGGGTGAGTTTCTGGCCCCGCAGCGCCAGCCTGGGACCAGGAGCTCAGAGGCTCCTTGAACCCCTATCCTTCTTGGGCTCTCTGCAGGGCCTCTACTCCCTGGGTGCTGCCTCTTTCTTCCTTAGCCAACCCAGCTTCCATCCAGAACCCTCCCCACTTCGGCCCCACCGCCCTCTTTCGGCACATAACATCACCCAGCCCAGCCTGTCTGATCACTGGGTCCGAATCCTCGGGGCACCCAAGCGGGCAGGAGTTCCTTTCTTTCTATGCCCTGCCTGCACCAAGCAGGGTAGGCGCTTTGTTTGCCAGCTGCCCAACCAGCACGGAGACCTGATCTCTCAGCACCAGGAGAGCCAACGTTGGGGAGAGTCAGCGTTGGGTAGGCAAGGAGACTTGATCCGGTAAAAGAAGATCCATAAGGGAGCATTTGGAAGAAGAGATGGGCAGATGCCAAGGCAAGAATTCGCCCAACAAGCTGAAAAGCAACATGAAGCCACCAGAAACCAGTGACCTCACAACGGGAGGACATGAACACCTTGATCAAGAAGAAGTAGAAAAGATTGACTTCATGAAAGTGATTGACACCCTTAAACAGCATGTAAAAAACGCCCTTATAGAAATGGATGAGAAATATAACAGAACGTTTGAAGAATTGAATAAATCAGTGAATGATACCCTAGAAAACCAAGGAAAAACAATCAAACGGAAAATGGAAACACTTCAAGACTTGAAAACTGAAATGGAGGCAAAGAAGAAAACACAAACAGAGGGTCGGCTGGACATGGAAAATTTAAGTAAACAAACAGAGTCTACAGAAACAAGCATAACCAACAGAATACAGGAGTTAGAAGAAAGAATCTCAGATTCTGAAGATACCATAGAGAAAATAAACACACTGATCAAAGAAAACAGCAAGTCCAACAAACTCTCATCACAAAACATTCAGGAAATATGGGACACAATAAAAAGACCAAACCTAAGAATAATAGGAGTAGAAGAAGGAGAAGAAGTGCAGCTCAATGGTCCAGAAAATATATTAAATAAAATTATAGAAGAAAACTTTCCCAACCTAAAGAAAGATATACCTATGACGGTTCAAGAAGCATACAGAACACCGAATAGGCTGGATCAAAAAAAAATCCCCTTGTCATATAATTATCAAAACACAAAGCATACAGAATAAGGAAAGAATATTAAAAGCTGCAAAGGAAAAGGGCCAAATTACTTATAAAGGTAAACCTATCAGACTTACACGTGACTTCTCCACGGAAACCATGAAAGCCAGAAGGTCCTGGAAAGATGTACTGCAGAAACTGAGAGACCATGGATGCAAGCCCAGATTACAATACCCAGCCAAGCTTTCGCTCACTATAAATGGAGAAAACAAAATTTTCCAGGATAAATATAATTTAAACAATACGCAGCCACAAATCCAGCCTTACAGAAAGTAATAGAAGGAAAATCACTAACCAAGGAGTCCAACAATGCCCACAATAACTCAGACATCTAGAGACCCTTCACCAACACAAATCAAAGAAGGGAAACACACAAACTCTACGACTAAAAAAATGACCGGAGTTAACAACCACTGGTCATTAATATCACTTAATGTCAATGGACTCAACTCACCTATAAAAAGGCACAGGCTAAGAGATTGGATACGAAAACAGGATCCAACATTCTGCTGTTTACAAGAAACACACCTCAACCACAAAGACAGGCACCTACTCAGAGTAAAGGGCTGGGAAAAGGCTTATCAAGCAAATGGACCTAAGAAACAAGCAGGTGTGGCCATACATATCTCTAACAAAGTTGACTTCAAACTTAAATCAATCAGAAGAGATGGAGAGGGGCATTTTATATTCATAACAGGAACAGTTCATCAGGATGAAGTCTCAATCCTGAACATCTATGCCCCTAATATAAAAGCACCCACGTACAAAAAAGAAACATTACTAAAACTAAAGGCAGCCATCAAACCGCACACAGTAATAGTAGGAGACTTCAACACTCCTCTCTCACCAATGGACAGGTCAATCAGACAGAAACCTAACAGAAAAATAAGAGAATTAATGGAGGTAATGAAGCAAATGGACTTAACAGACATCGATAGAACATTCCACCCAAATAGGAAAGAATATACCTTCTTCTCTGCAGCTCATGGAACCTTCTCAAAAATCGACCACATAGTCGGTAACAAAGCAAACATCCACAGTTACAAAAAATATTAGTAACCACCTGTGTCTTATCAGATCACCATGGATTAAAGTTAGAATTAAACAACAATGCTACCCCCAGAAAGCCTACAAATTCATGGAAACTGAACAGTCAACTACTGAACCATACCTGGATTAAGGAAGAAATTAAGAAAGAAATTAAAGTCTTCCTTGAATTCAATGAAAATAAAGAAACAACACTCAAACTCACGGGACACTATGAAAGCAGTCCTGAGAGGAAAGTTCATAGCACTAAGTGCCCACTTAAATAAAACAGAGAAAGCACACATTGGAGAATTAACAGCCCACCTAAAAGCTCTCGAAAAAAAAGAAGCAGATTCACCTAGGAGGAGTAGAATTCTGGAAATAATCAAACTGAGGGCTGAAATCAACAAAAAGAAACACAGAAAACAATACAAGAATCAATGAAACAAAAAGCTGGTTCCTGGAGAAAATCAACAAGATTGATGAACCCCTATCCAAACTAATCAAGTGGCAGAGAGAGAATTTGCAAATTAATAAGATCAGAAATGAATAGGGGGACATAAACACAGACAAAGAGGAAATTCAGAGAATCGTTAGATCTTACTACAAAAGTCTATATGCCACAAAACTGGAAAATGTAAAGGAAATGGACACTTTTTTAGATATATACCATATACCAAAGTTAAACCAGCACCAGGTGAACAATCTAAATAGACCTGTTAGTCGCGAAGAATTAGAAGAGGTTATCAAAACCCTCCCTACCAAAAAAAGCCCAGGACCAGATGGTTTCAATGCGGAATTCTACCAGAACTTCCAAGAAGAACTAATACCTATACTCCTTAATGTAGTTCACAATATAGAAACAGAAGAGGAATTGCCAAATTCCTTTTATGAAGCTACAGTTACTCTGATACCAAAACCACACAAAGACTCAACCAAGAAAGAGAATTATAGACCAATCTCACTCATGAACATCGTTGCAAAAATCCTCAACAAAATACTGGCAAACCGAATCCAAGAACACATTAGAAAAATTATCCATTATGATCAAGTAGGCTTCATCATCAACAGGGATACAGGGCTGGTTCAACATACGAAAATCTATCAATGTAATCCATCATATAAATAAACTGAAAGAAAAAAAAAACATATGATCATTTCATTAGATGTTGAAAAAGCATTTAACAAAATTCAACATCCCTTTATGGATAAAAGTATTGGAGAGATTAGGGATACAAGGGTCATACCTAAATATAATAAAAGCTATATACAGCAAGCCGACAGCTAACATCAAATTAAACGGAGAGAAACTCAAAGCCATCCCACTTAACTCAGGAACACGGCAAGGCTGTCCACTCTAGCCATACCTCTTCAATATAGTGCTTGAAGTTTTAGCAATAGCAATAAGACAACATAAGGGGATCAAGGGGATTCGAATTGGAAAGGAAGAAGTAAAACTTTCATTATTTGCAGATGATATGATAGTGTACATAAGCGACCCCCAAAACTCCACCAAAGAACTTTTACAGCTGATAAACACCTTTAGTAATGTGGCAGGATACAAGATCAACTCCAAAAAATCAGTCGCCCTCTTATACACAAAGGATATGGAAGCAGAGAGGGAAATCAGAGAAGCTTACCTTTCACGATAGCCACAAACAGCATAAAATATCTTGGGGTAAATCTAACCAAGGAAGTGAAAGATCTATTTGACAAGAACTTTAAGGCATTGAAGAAAGAAACTGAGGAGTATACCAGAAAATGGAAGGACCTCCCTTGCTCTTGGATTGGAAGGATCAACATAGTAAAAATGGCAATTCTACCAAAGGCTATTTATAGATTCAATGCAATCCCCATCAAGGTCCCATCAAAATTCTTCACAGATC